TTTCAAACACACACACACACACACACACACACACACACACACACACACACACACACCATTCTTCATCCAAGGATCGAAGACTTTCTAGTTAGGCCAAACTACAGGCCAGTTGGATGGGAAGCTTGACCCATATTCTACACCTCTGAATCTTATTCTATACTCAGTGGTTAACATTATTTTCTCTTTATTTACTCATTCATTCGTCTATTAATTTACTCCATAAGTATTCTACAAATGTTTATTGAGTGCATGTTCTGTGCCAAGTGCTGTGGTAATACCTTGGGGATTCATTAGTAAAAACATGCCTCAGTGCTTGAATATATGGTGTGTGTGCATTAGAGAGGAAGGGAAATGGGGGAGGAGAGAGAGACAAAGAGAGAGAGGTAAAGGGGGAAGGGTATCCATGTATGTGTGTATACATGTCTCTGTGTGCGTATATGTGTAAATGGAGTCACCCATGTCATAGCTGATTCAAACACAAGTGTTCTACATTTTGATGCATCTTAGACCAAAGGTGTAAGAGAAAAAGACTTTTTAAGGTTATCTCTTATTATGTATTTCTCTACAACTTTCCCATAATCTGGTCTAGATGTAAGAATTACTTTTACTTACAAACTCCTCTGTCTTTTAACCTGGGTATATTAATAGTGGTGGTTTTTCGTTCTGTTTGTTTTCTGTTGGAACCATAATTTAGATTAAACAACTAACCTTTGAATATCAGATATGTCTTACCTTTCTTCCTAAGAGTATAAGGTGATTAATACTTACACCTTGAAGCAAAGAAACAAGAACAAAAAACATGTCGCAAAACACAAAACAAATATACAATCATCTTTACTCCTGGCCCATCAACTTTTCATCTCAAAATTTATGTTGCCTCAGAATATGGCAACGAATGAGATGAATGTATGTTGCTACTAATATCTCAATATATTAAGATTATGTACTAGTATATAATTACTATTGGCTCCCACCTACTGAGTAACTCCCTTGAGGTAGGTATGCTTTCATACACAGAATTTAATTATCATAAAAAATTGAGAATAATATTGTCCTGGTTTAGGAGGTCCAGGGATTGGGTAATTTTTATTTCTTTTCTTTTTTCTTCTCTTTTCTCTTCCTTTCTTCTTTTCTTTTCTGTAGATGTTTTGCCTTAGGGAACATGTACTTGTGGGGGGAGGGAAGGAGACAAAGACAGGGAGAAGAAAAGTGAGAAATCATCCCCCCCAGGAAAATGGCTATGCTACAATTCCTTCTCCTCAGGATCTTTGGCGTGCATACGCATGTGCCTGGCATACACATGTGCCTGGCATACACACGTGCCTGGCATGAGTCTCAAGCCACAGGGTCCAGGACTCAAACTGCAGTCAGCCATGTGGGAGTCCAGTGATGTAACCACTATACCATCAGCTGGTCCTAAGGATTGGGCAATTTTTCTAAAATTGGACCTGAGCAATGATAGGAACCCAACTGACTATCCTGTAAATTTCTTTTGCCTTTACATATGTTCACCTCATTTAAATCACGCAAGATGTAGATAAATACAAATTATGATTCTACTCTTGCTTGAATTCCTATAACAAAGAGGCAGAAGCTGTGACAAAGTCCTTTGTCTGCTTTGTAATTGATCAGACAAATATTGGTAAAAGGATTATAGGACCTGACAGGATGCCCTACAGCAGATGACTGATCTCTGTGGCTATAGCACCAGCAGGGATGTATGGCTTCTCTTCCCACTTCTGTCCTTCCAATAACCTATAGATATCAACACAATGAACCTACAGAGGCCCCTGGAGCCAGGGCCTACTTCCTAGGTCACAGCTATCCTTCTCTGGCTGTGTGACTTTCTTGAGCTACGTTCCTTCTCTCTGCCTGTGTCCTGATTGCTGGTTTTTATTGTTGGTGTTATTTTCCAGCTTTTGCTCAACCTAATTAAGAAATGTGGGGATACGTTTTTCTACACTAATATTTAAGTACTTCCACCATGATCTATAGGAACGCTTTCCTGGAAAGATTTCACATGGATTTTCCACTGCCTGCTGACCTCACTAGCACTGAGGAAACTGCTATTTTTTTCTTCCTGGTTGCATTTGCCACTTACCCTACTGAAAACAGGAATTAAGACTTTAGACAGCTGCTTACTACATAAAATGTTCAAATAACATATTCTTCTTACATTTTCTTAGGAAAAAGTCCACTTGACTAGATTAGCTAAACTAATATAAATATGAAGTAATGCCAGTGGCTGCCTGCAGAAGGTGTTTTTAACTTTCCATTTGACTTAAGCGTCCAGTGCATTGAGGTGTCCGTGACAGTCTGCTCTGTGTCACATTTGTGAGTAGAATGATGTTGTAATGCACCCATAATGGCCAATATTATGTTAATGGAAATTGATGCCAATGTGCACTAATATATATTTGGTCAGGTGGAGGCATTCCCAACTGGTAATGTAACCTGTGTGGTTTAAGAATTCACACCTATAAATGGAACAAGGAGGATCAACTCTTTCTCTTGGACTCTGCCTTTCCTTGAATATTTGATGTTATTCTCTCACAAAGTCTATTTTCACTCTCATAAATAGAATAAAAAAAGTCTTAACCAATTTATTCAGTGACTAGAACTCCAATGTCATCTTTCAAAAAGTCTAGGATGGTGCAAGACTAAGTTGTCTTTGATAAGGGGATAAGGGACAGCAAGTCATATCTTCCTGAATGTGGTTTCATTAGCCATAGCCACTTGATACTGAGTAAGAGGGGAAATGGGGCAACTACCAGGATGATTCGGGAATTAAAACTACCTCTCCCCCGTCACCTGTATGAGCAAAAGCCAAAAGAACAAGAGATCAATTGTAAAAGGTGAACTCTCCGTGTGACTTTGAGAAACCAGGTAACCTCTTGATTTCTTTATCTATCAAAAGACCTTAGGATCCCTTGCTATTGCTTTCACTGGAGTTTTTTTAAATAAAACAATCCTGTGAAAGTTCCAGGTAGCAATAATGGAATTGTGTGAAATGATTATTAAGTGGATAAGTAGGGTTCTGCAGAGCATTCTCAAACTCAAGACCAGATATATATGTGACCTTATTTTGGGTCAACAGACCTTTCCCACCCTCCCTCTAGAATTGGTGCCACAAAACTCAACCTCTGCTCTCATAGCCCCACCCTAAGTCCTGTCTCAGCTATTTCTGACACATATGAAAAGCAGAAACTTCTTACCAGAAAATTTCTTATTTTATGGGAATGAAGCATAAAGCCTAGAAAGCAGAATACTATAATAATTTTTATTGTCAATAAATCTCATGTGGAAGCAGAAATATCTGCTAATGTACCACAAAGCTGGTCTCTAACATCTCCTTTCCCCATGCTAGGGCTGATGTAGGAATCCCTCTTGTTGGCTAGATTTTCTTTCTTCCCATATTGCATGCCTTTCTTC